CCCCTTGAAATGAAATGCACACTGAGTGTTAAAAAATGGCATCAAGCAAGCGGCAGTCTTATCCTTAAACCCCAAAAGCTCTAAAACCCCCCACTGCTCTCTCTCCCTCATCAATGGCGTCCGCTTCCTTCACTCTCCTCACAACCCCATTCCTCCTCTCTCCAAAAGACCGCTATCTCTCCCCTCTCCTCCTCAAACCCCCCAAAACCCTAAACCGTAACAAGCTGAAATCCGATTGCAGGTGCAATTTCTCTGCCCAAAATCAGCCCCCAAAACAAAAGCAGAAGCAAAAGCCGCCGCCGCAGCAGAAGCGAAGGAATCCAGAGGGCGATGTTGACCCCGTTGGATTCCTCTCTAAGTATGGGATCAACGATAGGGCCTTTGCTCAGTTCCTGCGTGAACGGTACTCGAAACCCTTTTACTTCTTTTTGTTTTATAGGGTTAAAAAAACAACAACCTATATGCACCCAAAATCAACCGCGATCGCAAATTTTACATTTCTAAATATAAATATTTGTTAGCCTACCCCAGAGTCTACTATAGTTAGTATGAGATTTCGCCCTTCTAGGGGTTTTAACCCAATGTGGTAGAATTGGCGGGAGTAAGCCAACAAATGTGTGGATTTGGAGGGTAAATTTGCAAATATGGTTAATTTTTGGGGTAGATAGGTTAAAGACCTTTTTTTTATATTGAATCAAGTTGTTTTTGTTTTGTTTTGTTCTAATAAATCTGGTTCTGTTTGCATTTGGGTTCAGGCATAAAGCATACAAGGATAGGAAGCTTGAGATTTTTTCGCGCTTTATTGATCTTCAGGGAGCTGCAGAAGGGTAATTTTAAAGAAAGTTATTTTCTTTTTGATTTTTAGTTGGGTGAGGTATTTGGAGTGAACGGATTTGGCTGGAATTTTGGCAGGTATGAGATAATGGGGTTGCATAGGCACAGACAACATCGGGTCGACTACATGGAATGGGGTCCAGGTATTGTGTTTTTTTGGTTAAAAACAAATCTAAATTGTATCTAAAATGTAGCCACTAGTTATCAGAGCATCCAAGTATCTCACGTATTTTTCAATAAAGGTACAAACCTGTTATTAATGGAGTTTTTCTTCAGGAGGAGATTTTTCCTCAAATTATCTTTTAAAGTTTTTCAGTGAGCTTACTTGAGATCCTACAAAACTTTTTGGACATCGGTTGACATTTTCCTTTATATTGGTTGTACGTTGTTTTGATAGGAGGCATACCAGTTGTAAGTTGTAACATGTTTGATAAATATCACATCTAGTGTTTCCTCTACAAGAAAGATTTATCATCAATCATGCCAAAGAAAATACATTCTTATAGAAAGACGGGGAAGCAGTAATCATATTCACCAGCTGACTGATGTGATTCACATTTGTCAATTACACAAAGAGAAGAGTGCATTGTTGTACTTTAGATAATCAATTGCAATGTGCTAGGTCCTACTTTGGTACTGTTGGAGCTTATAATAAGTTGCTTATATAAGTAGCTTATAAAAGCAACTTATATAAGCTGCTAAAAATAGTCGTTTGGTAATCATATATCAAAATATGCTTTCAAAAGTAGATAAGGTGTTTTGCAAAACTGTGCTTAAAGATCATTGTTAAAAGTAAAGAACATATATGGTAGATAAACTAAAAAAAGTAGAAGCTACTTTTAAAAGCATCATGAGTTTGCTTTCAAAAGTATCCCTTAAAAGCAGAAACAATTTCAATAAGCATTCCAACAATTTTTTTAACCAAATAACATTACTGAATGCTTCTCCTAAAAAAAAAAAAAGAAAAAAGAAAAAAAAGGCTGAAGCACCCCCAAAAATGCAATACCAAACTGGCCCCAAGTAACTTGCTTTTCGGTCATGGCAAAACTCCTTGATGTTTCTCAAGTTCAGAGAACAAGAACTTATAAGTCAAGTTCATCTTGAATATTGATCTTCTTTAGGATGTGCTGATTTCTGCTTAATCTTTTTGGTCCAAATTTCCACAAATTGTTATTCAGTTTTTCATTCTCTTTCAGCATTTTATTTCCCATTATGAGTGGGCCCTTCCTTTGACTCATATGAGAAGTCAAGGTCCTCCTTGGATTAACAAGAATGGATTGATTGGGTTTGTGGGTTAGTAATAGGAATAAGTTTCTCAGGTGCCTTAAAGGGTTCTCCACTACTATACACGCCTCATCTTTCTCGTACAGATATACATGGCATTGTTCGAGTCTTATGCATGTTTCACTTATAAGCTAAATCAATACCATCATGTTTCCGTAATGTTGTCCATGCATTTTGAAGAGTTAATTTACGACCAGAGACCCCAATATCCTTGCGATTCTTTTAACTGTTAGATCTAGATGACTGGTCTTGTGTTTAGCTATCAAAATTATGCATGCATGTTTTGTTGCAGTTGATGTGAATGCATGAAATATTATTGATCTGATATTCTCTCAACATTTATTTACATGGTAATTTTTGGAAGTTGGATTGGCTATAGCAGATGAATGAAAAGTTTGGGATGCTTGTACACCAAAAACCATCTTTTTGTGGTCGATGCTGATCTCTGATTCAACCACATGCAGATGTTCATCAGTGCTGTCGATGCCTTTGGGCAACCCTGATGTGATTATCTTCAAATTACCTTTCTGTCCATGGACTTTAGAATTTATCATGTATAATCGTTTAATCTACATTTGCTGTCTGTCCCCCCCCCCCCCCCCCCCCCCAAAAAAAAAAAAAAAGGGGGGGGGGGAATACACATACATACATAAAAACACACACCACACAGGCACACCAAATAAAAAGTTTCTGGAGTTCTTCTGCAAATAACATTATTTAATCATGATGTGTTTGTCCTGTGGAGATGCTATCATTTTCCAGCAGCGAAAAGAGACTGCAATTTTTTAAACTCATATCATCAGATATCTTCTTAATTTATTTCATATTCTTTATTTCTTGTAGTTATACTTATGATTGCTCGTTTAGTGATGGATGTATGTTTTTGGGTTTAACTGATACCTAGAATTTAGAAATCATGGTTTTTCCATAAGAAGCAGTCTGTAATTTTGTGTCTTTGATATGAATACCTAAATGTAAATTTAATTATATTTTTAATTTTTTCAGAAAATTTTCAATAACAGGTGCTCGATATTGCTCTCTAGTTGGTGATTTCAATGGGTGGTCACCAACAGAAAATAGTGCAAGAGAGGGATATTTTGGTTATGATGACTTCGGCTATTGGTTTATCATTCTTCAGGATAAACTCAGAGATGGTCAAGAAGCAGATAAGCACTACTTTCAGGAGTACAATTATGTGGATGACTATGATAAAGGTGACAGTGGTGTAGATGCTGAAGAATTATTTAAACAAATAGATAAGGAATATTGGGAACCAGGAGAGAAATGGGTTCGTAAGTCTCGTTTAGAATTAGTTGCTAAGTTATATGAGCAAATGTTTGGTCCCAATGGTCCCCAGACAGAAGAAGAACTTGGCGAAATACCTGATGCTGAAACAAGGTACAAAGAATGGAAAGAAACACAAAAGAATGATTCTGAGAATGACCAATCTCGTTTTGCCGTCATTGATGATGGGAAGGAACATGATATTTTTGATGTTATAGATGATCCTATTTCTAAGGAGAAATTTCGAGCAAAGAAGCCTCCAATTCCTTACTGGATTGAAATGCGAAAAGGTAGAAAGGCATGGTTGAAGAAATATATGCCAGCTATTTCTCATGGAAGTAAATACAGGGTTTACTTCAACACTCCCGATGGTGCTTTAGAACGAGTTCCAGCTTGGGCAACATATGTGCTTCCAGGTATTTTATTTTCTTTTTTATTCATTTTGTTGCGCTCTCAGTCCTTTACACTACTTCCATGTGATGTACTTGAATGTGGCCATGGGTACATCCTTAATATCGTTAGTATGTCGTCATGGAGAAATCCATGTGATGAGTGTTATTATGTTCTGCCTAAGGAACTTGTACTGTATAATTATTCATGCTGCCTCAATAATTAATGATATGAAATTTGTGTGTTTTATGGAGATTGGCTTAATTGTTGTTTATGTAGTTATTTTTGTGTTCCCAATTAAGCTTTTCTCCTATGTTTGTAGAACATTTATTTTTTATTCCAAAGTTAATTAAATATTTCTTTTTTGGAAGTTTTGCAGCTGTATGGCATTTGTGCTAAGAGGTGCATTTTTGACTTTTATGAAATCTAATTATGACATATTTAGTCCTTTTTGAGGTATATGCGATGCAGTTCAGAAGCTTCTTCAACTTAGAACACATGCCATATGGCGAGGCATTTTCCCCATGAGCTGTATTTGTAATGAAAATACAAGTTATATATATATATATATATATATACTAAATTAGAAATTTAAATATATATATATATATATATATATATATATATATATATATGGGAAACTATAATCATAGATGATGAATAGTTTATAAAATGTTTGCTTAATATGTCTCCCTTAATGGTAGTTTTCCCTGTAGCAGAGTATCCATTGATCTATAACATTACAAATTTACAATGTGCTCTTTCAGTTATATACTATGTAGCATCTTTAGTTTGGCACCAATCAATGCTATGAGTCTATGACGCCATGAAAATTCCCCATTTTATTATTGTTAATTGTTAGATTGCTGTGAAATTACAGTTTGCAGTGGCTGAGGCGGCGTACAAACACCTCTCCTATTAGTTGTTTCTGCTAGACTGGCAGAATTAGTATGTAGTTGTCCGCCCTATCTTTTCTGCTTTGCTGCTGACATATGATTCATATCTCATTATGATCTTGACAACCTTTTCATGGATGTCTTGGTCGTAAATGTTATTCTTCTGTCCCTGAAATTGTTTGTTCAAGATTTATTTCTAGGATTCATTAGTGCATACTTGTTTAAAAACACTAATATGATTTCACATAAGGAGGGAGCTTGTTAAAAAAGCTAGGATTTCAATGCGGTTTTAAGAAGCCTGCTTACTTTTTTAAAACTCCAGAATTGTATTCATTTTGCACAAGATAATTTTTATGGAATTAGGAAAAAGGGTTTGCGAGTTTATTGTACTTCCCTCTTACCATATCTAGTAGTTGCTTCTTAAGTTTCTCTCTGTATGCAATCCTCTTACTAAGCTATATACTTTTTTTAGCTTAATTTGAAGTTACGTGTAATGTAAATTACATGCTTTAATGCTTTGGTTATCAAAAGTATTGGAAAGATATCCGCACTCAGAATTACCTTTTAGGTGCATCACAGTTTTTATCTCTTTTAATTGTGGAGACTCTACAAATAAAATAGAAAAAATATGGGTATAACCAGGCGATGAATGCGTCAGTATGTAACATAACTTTATCGTTAAATATAAACTAACTCGAAACTCCAAGCAAGTGTTTCATGTTTATTAGTTTCTTTCACGTGTGTCAACATTTGTGACAATAGATAGTGGACTTGCTTTTGATCTTTACTTTTTCTGGCATTTGTACTACAATTAACCTGAACAGAGTATCTTACAAAGTCCCTGATGTTCTTAAAGATTCAATGATTCATGGACAATGGAAGTGTACGACAATATAATTCTCACCGTTTTATGGAAAATTCAGTATTATTATTCTTATAGCTTCTAATGTAAATATACCATGATTCTCAGATGCAGATAGGGAACAATCCTGTGCAGTGCACTGGGAACCACCTCCTGAGGATGTTTATAAGTGGAGAAACAAGAAACCAAAAGTCTCTAAATCACTTCGCATATATGAATGTCATATAGGAATAAGCGGATCTGAGCAAAAAATATCTTCTTTCAATGACTTTGCTTCAAATGTAAAACTCCGTCTGAGTTGTAATTTCCTATTTCATATGTACCAGTGTATCCTTAATATTTCTTTCTATTTCAGGTGCTTCCCCATATAAAAAATGCAGGATACAATGCCATTCAAATTTTTGGGCTTGTTGAGCATAGAGATTATTCTTCTGTTGGTTATAAAGTGAGTTTATTTCTGTTTTCAACATTCCCAAGATCAAATCTAATATTTCTTTGGGCATTGTAGTTCTTGCTTAATAAAATTTCTTGATGTTCTTTTAATGTTGTGTAATTGAAGCTTTCTTTTGTTACATGCTACCTGTAGAAATAAGTCATTTATGATCAGGAGAGCTCTCAGGGTTGAAAAGGAAAAGTGCAACCTATTATTTAGTAACTGCATTTTTGGCTTTTTGTCTAAGAAATGTCAAAAACTTGAATCTAATAAATGCGCAATGAAGTGAATGCAAAGGTGCTCTTTAGTTCTAGTATTTAATGAGTGTAGTAACAGCAGTTTGTATTAATTGATTTGTGGGTAGTCAGTTATAGTAGTAGTAGGTAGAAGCATGAAAAGTCAGCTGACTGAAGTTCATGCTTTTATTAACGATTAGTTATTAGTTAATTATTTTTTAAATGGATTAGTTCTTAGCTAAAGAATTATGTAACGCAATGACCTGTAAAAGAATGTTGAATCTATTAAAAAAAGATGAATTATTGCGAATGCTTTCCTTCTTTCTTAATCTACTAGCATGTTTACATTACTACGCTTTTGCTTTAACTATATTCTGCAGTTTAATATATTTTCTTATATGCAGGTCACTAATTTTTTTGCTGTTAGCAGTAGATATGGCACTCCTGAAGACTTCAAGCATTTGGTTGATGAAGCACATGGTCTGCTTCTTATGTAACTCTTCTTTGTTCTCTTTCATGCTATGTATCTCTATGTTATTATATCTGGAGCCATAGCTATGGTGTACTGCTCAGTTTTGAGTTGGAACATCCCATTTCAAGTGACATGATGCATCTGGACGCTTAATAGTTTACTACTTATATAGGAATGTTAGAATGATGATTCAAGTATGATCTTTCAAGTAGTTATTTGGGATAAACTAGGGTGTTTTGGGAGAGGAAAAAGGGAATGAGAAAACTTGTTTAGTCCCCTCCACTTATGTTTCTCTTATTTATACTTTATAGTAGAGAAATACAAAGATGATTCATTGTATTTGGACGCACACACGCTACATTGTATTTGGACACTTACATACCATATGGTCAACACCACATGTTACAAATTTATCACGTCTTATTCTCTAGCAGTCTGTATCTAGGAATGTGCTATCAAATGATGATCCAAGTAGTCTTTCAAGCACTTATTGGTCTATATTAGTAATGTTCATATGTGTCTTTGAAGTACTTGTTGTCTTAGACTCTTAGTAATGTTCATGTGTGGGTGATCTAGGCTACTCCATTGGTAATTACAGTTGTATTGTAGTTGTGAGTTTAATGGTCAAAAAGGAAGGTTTTCTATACATGATAGAATATAGGTGGGGTCTACTTCCATTTTGTATCCCAACTTTTTGCAAGGACATTCTGTGTGAACATGAACGTATGCATGTAAATTTGTGTTAATCAATGTGCTTGTGCTTGTGAGTGCGTGTGTTATCTTTATACCACTTCAAAGGAGCGGTGCTAGAGTTTTACACACGGTTATAGAGTTGCGTTTTAAGTACGAGAGCTTCCTGCACGGCAAATGCTTTACTGTCTGCCAACCGGATTTACACATGGTTATAGAGTTGCTAGAGTTTACACATGGTTATAGCGTTTACACATGGTTATAGAGTTGCGTTTTAAGTACGAGAGCTTCATGCGCGACAAATACTTTACTGTGCCAACACCAGTATCATGAACAAACTTTTCCAATATTTACTCCTTACATGGAAAATAAAGAAAGCTTATAGATTGATCCATCTTACATGTCAATACTGTGTTACATTACCTTTATGCATTACTTCCCATTGTCAACTCTTTTTTATTTGGTTTTGTTAGATTATAAAAATATAACACTCAACTCTCACCAAAACTTCAGAGTTTTGGTGTAGCGGCAAGGGTCCTCTGACATGGTATGAGAGCACCCAGGTTCAAATCTTACTAACCACGAATTTAAAATGGATTTAAAAAAAAGGGCCTCCAACCTGCGGGGGCATGTTAAAGTATGCAAATATAGCCCACAACCCTCACCTAAATTTCAGAGTTTTGGTGTAGTGGCAGGGTTCTTTGATGGGCTTCTTATTAACCATTCTTATTAACCATTTTAATCTTGCCATGTCTCTGCACGACTCTTATATTTTTTTCACTTAGAAGGACACATGTTCATGCTCTATGAAATATGGATCTGATGGTACTATGGTTTCTTGTTACATTTAGGTGCTAACTAATGCATCTGTTTCCCAAGGCTGAATACTTTGGTTATACTTCACTACCACTCCCATCTATAGAGGATACGTCAATAGATTTACCGGTTTTGGTTTGATTTCCTGTTTCAGAATTTAAAATTTTAGAATATTTAAAAAGGTACAAAGATTTAAATAAAAAGTGGAGTATTTGGATATACACGCATAACAGAGATTCCTTCCTCTTCTCTCACACTGTTCAAGGCTACTTGAAAATGTCACTGGAAGGAAAAATGATGTGTTTGCAATTTTGCATCAAAAGGAAAGAAGACCAGCATACACCTCTCTTTTCTCTCTCACACAGATAATACCAGCATCGCTCTTTAATCAATAAGGGCTAATATTAGCTTAACTTTACATGTTATTTTCTGTTTGTAGCATTATCTCAAATCATTTTCTAGGTGCCGGGGGAAATTTTTTTTAGCTTAGTCTCCTGGCATTTTTGTAGAAAAACTGAAATGAAACGGCCATGTGTACTATTTTTCTTGAAACCATGACATTGTCATTCTTCTCTCTGGGTTTATTTATTTATTTTTGCATCTGTACTGTACCATCATGTTTGTTTTGTTGTGTTTGCATTGATATTCTGTTTCATGCAGGGATGGGCCTTCTGGTTTTTTTAGACATTGTTCATTCCTATGCGGCAGCTGATGAGTTAGTAGGATTATCTCTTTTTGATGGATCAAATGACTGCTACTTCCACTCTGGTATATCTGTTATGTACTTTGTGTTTATTCTATCCATCATGATCTTCTATATCTAGTTCTTATCACTAATTGAGATGGCCTTTTATAATGTCAGTTGCTTGTCTAAGGAAAATCCCTGAGTTATAATTGTGTTACCTGCCTGATTTATCTGTAATGTTTTATAACTTGTCTTATCTGTAAGTAGATGAGATATGTCTTTTCAACTGTTAAAACTTGACAACGAAAGTAGACTTTAGACTGTACTATTTCTATCTGATATGTGCCCTTTGAACTTCCAAATCTTCCCTACAGAACCTACTTCTAAAGTTTGAGTGCCATAAAAAATGTACGAGAGTTAACTAGTATATCTTAATTTTAAAAAATAGATAATACGAAGATTTAATATATCAGATGAGTTTGTGGTCATTTCCAGTGTTTTGGCGATGCGTCTTAGCATATTTCCAGGTGATGCGCATTAGCGTATTTCCAGGTGATGAAGGTTACTAAGGTGATCGCCTTTTGGCACCTCGTGACCTTGCCTTGGCACCTCAGGCGCTCACCTAAGGCATGTGATGCAAGGTGCGAAGAGTTTTGTCTCTATTTCAAAATTTTGAGGGTACGAAAGGTGTTTGATAAAGTAAAGTTTGTTTTTGTTATTGAACTTTTCTGTTTCTTTTTTTCATTGTCAATTTTTTTTTTGTTTTTCTTTGGAAATGTACTTTATTATCTATATTATTTTGAGGACGTGCCGCAATTTGAACCTTAAAGTTCAAAGTTTGTTGCTTAATTATCTGTGTTAGTCGTTACTAATTAATATTACTATTCAATAATTGTTACTCACTACTTCATTTAGATGGTTTATGACATTATATTTTCGACTACGAAAATTTGGCTGTGATTAATTTGTCTTGTTGCTATCTATTAATATTTGCATATTTCTGACATATCATTTATTCCTGAAGAGATCAAAATAAATATAGTGATATCAGACAAGTCTTACAATTATCAAAAAAAATAGCATCACTACTGAATTGTGGAAAGGTGAGCATTTATTAGAAAGTGAAGAAGTTTTACATGCATGGGACTATGGGAGGTCCCTCTGTGATGCAAAGCAACATTATTTAGCAACTCATTTTTCTTAAGATATACGAAGAGACAGACTAGTGGTAAGGACTACCCTGCTAATCACATCATAGCAGGTCACCACTTCCACTTGGTATGTGGCAGCTCATATCCAGCATCACACTCACGAGTGCCCACAGGCGTGCGCAACACTCACCAGACACTATATATATGTATATGTACATATTACACAAACATACTACGTACATACATATTCACTTACATACACATATTATGTAGATAAATGGATATGGTTTGATTACAAAATTTTTCATTCACTCCAAGGATCTAACAAGTTCTGCACCTAATTGAACATTGTGTCAGTATTACTTTATTTTTGACCAATATTTTCCTGATGAAACTTTTCCCTTGAGACAAATAAAGGAGATACATAAGTGGAATGTGTGCGGGCATATGCCTGCGTACTCCCATATGTTAGCTTGTAATTGTTGATACCATGGTTTTCTTTTATGCTGATTCTTGGAAATTCTCCATGAAACCTTGTTGGTTCTGGTAACACCCTTTTCATATTGGCATTAGAATCCTGTCTTGCAATGTTTGGAAATATCTAGCTTCATATATTTCTAATGTTGATCTTGTAGCCGATACAAGGGTCATGTTTATTCACTTATTTATTAGCTCTGTAAATTTCTTATGAGCCTTTAATTTGACTAGGTAAACGCGGTAATCATAAATATTGGGGCACCAGAATGTTCAAATATGGGGATCCTGATGTGCTGCAGTTCCTTTTGTCAAATTTAAAGTGGTAAAATTTTTAACTACTCGTCCAGAAGTGCTAATTTATGTTGTCATTGACTAGATAGGTATGTTGACCTGGCTGGGTTTCTTATAGACTCATATTTTAGCTGAATATTGACTTAGGGGTTCCTTCAGAAACATGAATTTTGTCATTGCATGTGGTCTTGTGTCTTCTTATTTATGATATGAAGCTTTTTCTAGGTGGGTTCATGAATATCAGATTGATGGTTTCCAATTTCACTCACTCTCATCAATGATGTACACGCATAATGGCTATGCTGCTTTTACCGGTTCAATGGAGGAGTAAGTGCCCTTGTAGCCATTTGAATTTGTGACTCGTGCACTGTATATGCTCTTTATTCAGTTAAATCTTTTTGACTTCTTTAATTGTAGTATCAATTTTCGACCGTGTTTGTGGAATATATGACAAACTGCAGGTTCACATGTACTTTGAACCATGGCATGTAGTTCTGTAATTAGCTAGACAATTTTCATGCTTTACTTGCCTATTCTAGGTTACTCGGACACAGCGTTTTGGATGTCCGACATGTATCGAACACGAATTCTCCGCGGACTCGCTATAGACACATGTATTTCAAAACAAAACCCGATGCCCTATTACTTGTACTCTAAACTAGTTCCTTTGTTAATATTGGGTTCAAAACCAATCAGTTTTTTTGAACCTAAAAATTGAAACCCATTACTTAAATATTTGAAAAATACCCATCATATTATCCCATACGATCAAAACTAAACTTTTGTTGTTAAACCTTACTCTTAGTTTGATTTAAAACTTGATTCTTAAGTGTTATAGATAATAGAAAGAAACATACAAATATTATAGGTATTTTAATTCAATATTTGATCAAATGTGAACTCTCTCTCTCTCTACACACACATACATATACATATACACATACATATGTGTACATATACACACCCAAACACAAACTACCCCCCACATATATAGAGTAAAGCTCTTATAAACTTAAGTGGATGGGAGCACTTGTCCACCAAACTTATTACTGCTTCATTATGCTTTGAGATTGTGCTATACATCAATGTTATCTTTGAGATATGTGCCTTCAGTTGTATCACATGTTAGCACAATCTCAATTCAAAATTAATGAAGGGGCCACTTAAGTTAGGAGCTTTACTCTATCTCTCTCTGTATGGGTGTGTGTGTGTGTGCATATATATATATATATATATATATATTATATATATATATATATATATATATATATATTGAAATTAATAATTTACATGAGAACATTATTATTTTCAATTCCTGTGGTATTTGAATTTAATTTCCTATAACAATTTTAAGTTTCTTTTATTATGTTGATAATTATAAATTGGAAACTGCTCGATTTTTAACTAGAAACTCAAAACACCCTTTTCGATCGTAGTTTTTTTACTTGCATATGTGCTGAAATAACCGGACCCATGTCTAACGAGCTTTAAAAAATGGATATGAAGTGTAGGATATACGTCCAAAAAGTGTATAATAAATATTTAAAATTAAAACATACATCGTATAAGTGAGTACATGTCTTGGTAAATGTATGCATACATCCAAGGAGTGTCCATGATGTTTGGGTACAATTAAATGTCGGGTGCGTGTCGGGTACGGATGCGGGTATGGCTTCATGATAGAAGTACTTAGATAGCATAGTATATAGCTGTGTCCCCGTATCTTACATTTTACAAATTTCCGTGTCTCGTAACCGTGCCTGCCTAACTTGCCATGTATCTTGCCAAATGCATTTCTATCACAAACATAAAGGTATAAATACCAATAAAAGTAAAAAAATGTTTTTTTAGTGTAGATCCCTTACTGAAGCAAAAACTAGATTCAGACATGAACTGATATGACTCCATTGCGGGTTGACTGAAATATTTTGTGCAGTTTCGTCATTATTATCATGATGCATAAAATATATTTAGTTGTTTTTATTCATTTTGAATATTTTTTTGGACATGAAAGCGTGGACCAAACTTCTGTCTTATTCTAATTATTATCTTCTGAATTACGAAAGTATTCTCTGTAAAGGAACTTAATCCTAGTTGCAAGAATAAATTTAGGATGTGTAATTCTTCATGACTAGACTGATATCATGGCTACTGTTACCTAGTAAAAACAAGGACTGCATGTTTGATTGTTTAAATTCCACTTTCTTTCCTGTTAATTGTCAAGCTTCCAGTACTCTTGCTTGGTTATCCTAAAAAAATAAGCCTTAATAATGTTGCCAATTTGAGAGAACTGAGTATTCTCTGTAAAGGAACTTAATCCTAGTTGCAAGAATAAATTTAGATGTGTAATTCTTCATTACTATAGACTGATATCATGGCTACTGTTACCTAGTAAAAACAAGGACTGCATGTTTGATTGTTTAAATTCCACTTTCTTTCCTGGTTAATTGTCAAGCTTCTAGTACTCTTGCTTGGTTGTCCTAAAAAAAATAAGCCTTAATAATGTTGCCAATTTGAGAGAACTGCTGCAAGGGACTTCCTCTGGCTCATCCATCATGAGCTTGCGACTTAAGACAGTTGACTTTAGTGGAAGTACTAGATGTGGTTTTTGATAGCTTCACTGTTTGCAGTGGCCCTTTTGAAGGTTCTCCTACATTCTCTAGAAGTGTCAAACTATTGAAATAATCCTGGAGGAAGATGTGCTGAAGGGAACATATGAAGACCATTCTCAGAACCTAGGTCTTACGAAACATCTTGCAGTCCTGTATGGCAGTTCTCTAGTTTCTCTGTGTATATACCAGACATAATAACAGGCATTATTGGGACCCTCCAAGTCGTTCTAGTGACTTCAATTTGAGTTCAAAGAAAAATATGTTGCTATGACAGAACAGTCTTAAGAAACCAAGGATTGGATGAAGTGTACCATATAGTGGCTTAAACTGTAACATCCTTCAGGGAATCCTGGTTTTCAACTGTTCTTTGATTATCATCCTCTTCTAGCTATGTTGCCTCATAAGCGGCTACTGAATTAGATAAATTGCCATTCTCTTATAAACTTGAGATAATATTCTGTTAGTTGAATGATGGAAAGTTTAAGATGTGTTAATGGGATAGACGTTTTCATGATTCATCCTATTTATGGGGGTTATCTCTTTCTTTACTTTTTAGTTGTGTATTGATCTAATATTTTATTTAATAATTTCATAAAAATCCACATTCTATGACCTTAGTCTGTAGTTTTGGAATATCTTTCAGTATTCATTTAAACTTTAATGTTAATAATCAGTTATGGCTTACTGACAGTTATCCTTTTCTATCCACAGGTACTACAATCAATATGTTGATAGAGATGCTTTGATATATCTAATTTTAGCTAATGAGATGCTCCATGAGCTTCATCCAGATATTATAACAATTGCAGAAGATGTAAGTTAGTTTTAACCATTATGTTTCACATTTCAATATTTCATATCTTCTCATGGCATATTTGCTTGGATTATCTTATAGGCATCATTTATTTATTTTTTATGGTAATTTTTTAGTGAAAGGTAGTTGAAATATTTTTACAGCTCACTAATGTTTCTATGACTTCATCTTGTCTGGTTATTTGCTCATTGTTCTACAATGGATGTTCTCCCATTCCAGTTGATTGATGTATTCTTTATTGCGAGGAAGTTTGCTCTATGAGATGTTAATATCATTGGTGTATGATTAAGAAACCACTGAATGTTATCCCTTTTTGTCTTCTGTAGCACATTAGTTCTTCATTATACATGGAAGAGTTGTATGCGGTTACTGAAACCATTAAAGCAGGCTGGTTCTCTTTTTTATCCTTTTAGTGCGAAGTAAAAGATTGAAAAGTTAAAATGTTCATATATCTTATGCTTATTCTCTCAATCTTTAATGTTTTATTTTGAGTTCTTGGTTCATAAAGTTTGTGCGAGCGCACATGCGAGTTCATAAGTATGATAGTTACTCTGATAATCCTTATTACTTTTTTGTAGACTGTTCAATTGGATGCATAGTCATCATTATGAGCTTTCCGGAGCTTTTTTTTGGTTTTGGTGGCTAATGTTTTTCTGTTGAGAATGTACATGGTAATGAATTGGGCTCACGTAACGTGAATTATTTCTGCTCGATGCAGATGACAGTTTATCCTGGATTATGTGAGTTAACCACTCAAGGGGGATTGGGATTTGATTACTGGGTCAATGCTTCTGTGTCACAGATGTGGTTGTGGCTTCTTCAAAGTGTTCCTGAACTGGATTGGAGCATGAATAAGGTCTTTCTGCCTTTCCAGTTGTATAATATTTAAGATTCAGTTTGTTGACTTCTGTACCATTCATTTTTGTTTTTACAACAATTTCTTGTGGGTTTTTCCTGACAATTGTTTCTGTTACAACTTACATGTGTGTTTATTTATTGAGAATCACGCCTAGAGGGGTTAAACAGAGCTTGCTACTGTTTGGATAGGAAGGTCTTTTCTAAAGAGGAAATAGTTCTACTTTCCATAAAAAACTCAAAATGCTTGATGCTAATCAAAATGAACTTTTAAGCGGGAGGTGTCGACAGGTGATGAAACTTTAGAGTGGATATGTCATATATGATGAGATTATTCTTTTCTTCTTCTTTTGGGAAGTGTTTAAATGTAAGTCGCCCATGATCTTACTAACACGAACTACACATCTAAATGACTTGGTTGACAAATAAGTTATATATGCATAGGTTTATCCTATGATGAATAAGCAATCTAGAAACTTCATTCATGTTTTTGTACAAGTCTGGATGACTTGACTGATGTAATCTCCTTCAAATTGTATACCATTGGCAAGAGCACTGACTCTGCTTTTTTCCGGCACTTCAAATGGAAAGGCATTGGAAATCTTCTAGAGAATATTATGGCCAAAACATTGTTGCACAAGCTGTCTAGTTAATAGGGAAATAAGCCTCGTTCTTCTTTTTCCAAATTAATAAACCGAAAGTGTGCACCTACATCATTCTTCCCAGGGTGGAGAAGACTTGTTTATGAATCTAGGCCTTTCTCATCTTCGTACTAGGGAGATAAGTCGCTGACATTAAAAGTAGCATATGCACCATAGTCCCTAGGAAGCTTTATCTTGTAAGCATTGTTATTGATGCGTTCTGGAACACTGAAAGGTCCATTGTCTCGAGGTGAAGGCTTACCACTGTGACTGGGAGGAAAACTGTGTTGGTTATGTTGATGAATGATGATATCATTCTGAGTCTCTGACTGTGATTATCATAAGGATGCATTGTTTTAAAGTGATATTAGAGCTTTCATTTTTATGTGGAGAATGTTGTATTTTTGTAGTATATTTTTGGGATATAGGTTATACAGTCATAAAAAGATCTCTCTATCTCAACAGAAGCATCATTGATTTACCAAGAGATTTGTATGTTTGGATCTAAGCTTATCGATACTCTGATAGATCCTTTTATTTCCCTTGATAAAGAATTTGGGTGATCTTCTGAGCCTTCTGACTGATCTAGAATATATCGCAGGTTGATTGAGAGTCTGAAATATTTAATGATATCTTGTTGTACTATTACATTTTCTGTTGGTCTTTTGAGTGGGTGTATTCAGGTCTCACATCATCTTCATTGAGGTGCAGTATTAAAATAGCAGGGTTTCTTTTCATCCTTCAGTTCATCTTGATGTTGTTGGCTATTCCGATGTGGTTGGGTAGATGATCCTTTTTTATTGCTCTATGAGTTGCTATTGCACTTTCGTTTGTGGGCATATGGTGACTTGGCGAATAAGAAACAGATTATTGTTCTGAGTCTAGTTTTTAAGATGAACATCTTGACGTGGCTTATATTTTGCGCGATGATGTGAGTGTAGTATCTTATTCCAGTGATGACGCGTTTCTATATCAAACTACAGAAATGCGTTGTGATGATCAAAGTTCATAATCAGAGTGCTTATAATTCAGTCTTTAACGAGTGAATCAAAATATAGATGATTATCACTTCATTTGTAATATGGTGGAAAGCAAGAAGGTTGTCACTCTCTTTCTGAGTTCGAATGATCAGATTGGTGATTTTGTTTTCACTAAATCACTATCGCTTTATCTACTATATATATATATATATATATATATATATTCATATAACTATATTATATATACTATATTATATTTATATAGAGAGGAGAGGAGAGATGAGAGACTGAGAGAGAGAGATAATTGTACCCTTGGACAAAGGCAGGGGATTCCCTCCTAGACAATGATGTGGCACGAATCCCCACCATATAAAATTCTACTCTCCTATTCTATTCTCTCTTCCTTCACATGGGGTGGATTGTGCCACATCTTCAGAGGAAAATCCTCTCCCGTCAAGGATACATTAATCTCAATATAGTATATATTATAATATTATATATTATATATATAATATATATATATATTATATATATAGTATATTATATATTATGCTCATTGCGAATGTTTAGAATAGTTAATATATTAGAGAAGTTAGAGAAAGTTGTTTATTCCTATAAATTATGTAATTATATTCTATTTTAATAAAACTTGATTGCACCAAACAAATTTTACAATACAACAAAATCAATGTAGGGGCTGTTTGGTTCAAATCCTAAAATTATAGGATTTAAAGTCTCATCAAGAATTTAAAATCCATAGGTTTTTATAGATGCCTTTGAATTCCCAATTTTTTGTTTGGTTCAACATTGATTATAGGAAAGCAAAACCTAAAATTTGTAATTTTTTGTTTGGTTCAAACCCAAACATATAGAAAAGTAGAAATTGTATGGATACCTAATGCCAACATTTTTAGGATTTGGCAAATCCTCTCCAGATTGTAGGATTTGGCAAATCCCAAAAGATCCTATTTTTTCATTTTATGGATACCTAATGTCATATTTGTTTTTGAAACAAACATCATATATGGAATCCCATAAATGAAAATGAGACTCTTTTTGCTCCAAGAATTTCAAATCCACCCCAAATGCTAAAAGTTTTGTGCAACCAAACAACTCCGTAGATTACTTTGATCTTTGGTATGTTTCGTGCTTCTATTTTCTTTATAAATGAATGAATGTAAAGCTTGAGAGCTGCCAAATAATGTTTCTATTGTTTTATCTCTGAGAATTCTTTATAGGGTTATTACATCAAGACCACATTTACTTTTACCCAAATTGCTACTTACCACTATAAGTTTTTTTAATCAATACCACATTTAATTGCTAACATATTTGCAATGTCACATCTATTGCAGTTTTTAGCTCAAAAACAGGTGAATGACAAAACTACCCTCACCGCAAATACGTACGGAGCACGTGTGTCCAATTAATTATAAAAATAAAGTTGTTTGCAATTTTAGTCCCCAAAATCTTTCATTTTTTTATATTAGACCCCAAAATCATCATATTTGAAATTAGTCCCCCAGATCGGTGTGAGAAGGAGGGAAGATCGAAGGGAGGTGAAGTTTGGTTTTGGGACAGGATTGGGTTTTTTTTTTCCTTGGATTGGAAGGAGGGAGGAGGATTGAGGGGAGATGAGGTTAGGGTTTGGGGATTGGGAATTAGGGGTTGGGAATTGGGCTAGGGTTTCAGAAGTTGGTTAGGAGATTCATGGTTGAGAGAGAGAGAGACTAATTTCAAAATATGAAAGATCTGGTGGACTAATATTGAAAAAAAATACGTAAGTTTATAATTAATCAGGACACATGCAAAGCACGTATCTTAGTAAGGGGTAAAATAGTATTTCGAGTGTTTTTTGGGCTGAAAACTGCAATAGGTGTGACATTGCAAACATGTTAGCAAGTAAAGATGGTATTGATCCAAAAATTTAGAAAAAAAGTTTAAACGTGGGTAAGTAGTAATTTGAGTAGAAGTAAAGGTCCTTTAAGTAGCAATTTGGGTAAAAGTAAATGTGGTTTTGATGTAAAAATCTTCTTTATAATTTCTTCAGTATTTAATACTTAAGTATTATGTGTTAATACAGATTGTGAGTGTACTCACTAGCAACCACCAAAGAAATGATAGGATGCTAGTATATGTTGAGAATCATAATCAGGTACTTGTTCTCTTTCACTGTTACATCTATTTCAGATTCTGCTAATTTTATGATGCTTATGTTCTTGATTTTTTATAGCACTTCTTATGTTAAGTCAGTAACAAATCTAGATTATTATTTTGTATTGTAATAGTATTCTTTTTTTTTTCTAATAATAAAAGAATAACACACTTTTTCATATATGGAAACCTTTCAATTTCCGAGACCTAAGTGCCTTTTGGTATATCATCTTTCTCATCATCATCATCACCATACAAGCTTACTCACATCAAAATAGTGCAGTGAGTAAAATGGAGAAGGATTCACAAACAAGAAAAAGAGTACACATTTTCGATGGGCAAGCCAACATTTAGCCTCACAACATTCAGTATATCTTCTTTCTCGTCGTCGCCATCATCATCATCTAAGCTTACATCAAAATAGTGTCAATGAGTAAACTTGAGAAAGATCCACAAAAAGGAAAAGATGTGCAGTTGTGCACATTTTCGATTGGCAAGCCAACATTTAGCCTCCATGAGCTTCTACCAAATTTCTGACCAAGGAATGATGGATACCATACTACAAAACTTCAAGGCAAATGGCAAGTAGGCAGTTTGGATTTTCTTGTCATACAAGTCAAAGTTATCCAGCAAGGACCACCTTACATTTTTAAGCCATGCAGCCAAGGATCAACTTTTATTATTACCTTTCTTCCGGAAAGAGGCAGATGGCTAAGTAGACTGAAAATATCCAACCTTGAAATAGTATTCGTATCTTAGGCACATATACCAACAAGACAGAAGTATCATATTTCTTAATTAATATACGCATGACAATAAAAGTAAAGTGCATTTTGTCTGCTCATTTTATATCTCTTGCCCTCTAAAGTCTTTCTAATTGGACTTGAGCCCACCTAGTTATCTACTCTTGAAATAGTATTAATCTGTTAGGCACAAATGCTAACAACCGAGAAGTATAATATTCTTAAATCAATGTATAAATGAGAAAGTGCATTTTGTTGCCTTATATCATCTCTCTTGAACTAAAAGTATTTCTTTTGGATGCGGGTCCACATAGTAAGTATTTTATTTCCTAGGACAATTAGTTTCTATGCATAATTACTAGTGCTTCATAGACTTCTCACGTTCTGAAATAGCTTGCATGAGGTGCAGATGCATATAGATATCCATCTACTACTGCACCTATATCTCGTGCTTCACTGAAAGCAAAAGCCTTAATCTTTTGTTCAGTAGGAGATTTTGGCATACTTAGTCTGAAATGATTTCCCAGTATTATTGTCTTATATTGCACCTATTCAAACGTATTTCATCTATGCAGCTCTAGTTAGAAGGCCTCACAAGATTCTCATAATGCTAACATTACGATATTAGCCTCCTGCAATCAGTGTAGAATATCTAGCTGAGGTGGCTATAGGCGAGAGCAGACATCATTAAAGGATAACAACTATGCAGGCAGCAGGTTGCCCAAACATATGGCTGTGTAGTAAAAAACTAATGCACTTTGACCCAACTCTTTGAAAGTTACTAGATTAAGATATAATATGGACTGTTATCATCATCATCATCATCATTGGCATCATCATCCTTGTTGTTCAACTATGGTGCTGGGGGAAATACAATATTTTCTGTCCATATTGAATTAAACTGTACATATAGTACTATAAACATAACGGTGTTTAAGATATCATTGAACTGAATGTATTTCTTTAAATTTTTTTAATTGATGTCTCCTAACAATGACAAACCACTACAACAACAAAGCCTTTATTCCAAATTTTAGAGATTGACTTCATGAATCTTATTTTTCATTTATTTCTATTATGGGTCATCTCCTCTGTTAACTATGACATACATATCCTTCTCAATTGCTTTTAACTAAATTCTTTTAGATCTACCTCTAGTCTTCTTTACCCCATGGACTAAAATCTTATTTTTAGTGTATAAAATTATAACCATTAACCCTCAGCACAACTTTTGAGTTTTGGTGCAGTGGCATATTGACATGACACCAAAGTACCTCATTGATGCAAGACAAGTTAAGATTTGGTTAATTCTGTTGAGTAATATAGTTAGGATTTTATCTCATCTTATTTTAGGAGATTTTATTTGATAAATGAGTAGTTTGGGATCTTATATTTTTAGATTTTTTTGTTAGATATTTAGTATGTTGATTTTCAGTTTTATTAGATGCAATTTCAGGATTTGACGTTATCTTTAGTATTAAGTTTTGTTTCCCTACTATAAATAAGATATAATCCTCCAGAAGGACTAGATATTGATGAGTGAAGATTATGAGATTTACGTTATCTTTAGTATTAAGTTTTGTTTCCCTACTATAAATAAGATATAATCCTCCAGAAGGACTAGACATTGATGAGTGAAGATTATGAGATTTGAAATCTTCTTTGAAGCGTGTGAGTCGCTTTAGGTGTGAAGCCATTATTTCCAAGGTTAGATGTGTGTGTGAAGCTGAACTACCCAAGTTATCTCTTTATCTTTATTTTATCTTTTGTTTCTCCCCTTAAATTAAGCTGCTCACTCCCACATTAAAAAAAAAAAGAACAGATCACTGCTCACGAGAGAACTAACTCGTTACTGTTCATCATCATGAAACCTTTTTCCTATTCACGTTCCATCTACGATTGCAAACACCTCATCATCAATGCCATCTTCTTCCCTTCATGCCAAGCCCGACAACACTCCTTTTCCTCATTACCAATGTTCAAATCTCATTGGGCACGGATTTAAGGTGATTTTATATAATTATACTGCTGTGTGAATCATTTTTGCCCGTAAAAAAGGTGCCCAAACCCACAGAGAGCATGGGAGTATATAAAAATTTAATCCTCAACCCCCACAAAAACTATAGTCTTGTTGTAGCGGTCGGGACTTTTGACACCTATCAATTCTCATAATTGATGCAATTTGTTGAGTCCGTTATACATGACGAAACCATCTCAGTCGACTCTCTCATTTTATCTTTGATACGAGCCATATCTAATCTCTACGAATGCACTTATTTCTTATATTATTGTTTAGTGGTATCAACAAGACAATTGTAACATACTCATTTTCGCTACACTCATCTTTCCTCCTATTTGTTTAGTGGGCAAACAATTTGATCCCTAAAACATTATTGGTCTTATAACATCATAATGATACATGCAATAATAAAAGCTTATAGTCTTCACATTAATGCTTTCACTAGATGCCAACATGTTTGAATACCAGCGAAGAGTTTCAAGAAAAGGAATTGTTGGGAATGATTTAGCTCAACTAATTGGTCATGAAGATGATTTCCAAATCTAAAGAAGCACATATCCATATTCTCCACGGAGGCAATAACCCTATTAACTTTCATTTCAGGTCCTCAGGATTCCAAGAATTTTTTGCAGGGAAGATTGAGTAAATATCTTCCTCCCTAACCAAATTGACCGGCAATCATCCAATAATTTTGTTGAACCATTAATAACCAGATCAAAACTAAGTTGCCATTTTGTTCTTCCTGGGAATTTTAACTAAGATTTGATAGAGAAGGTAATATTCTTCTTTTTCATGAAAGAACAAAATGTAGAGTTAATGGGAAATGGAATTTAAAAGATCTGACAATTCCTTGTGAAATAGTGACGGTGGATATAAAAGTTGGTTTAAGGGTGTTAAAAAAAGACTAGTTTTGAAGGTTCTATGAAATAAGGATGAAGTTTTTGAAGTGCCTAGACATAGACCATAATGTTTACATGTCTAGTGTGAAATTCTATTTAAGAAAGTGCTGTTGTTTTTAGTTATTGACTTGGTTTCTTTGTTAACAAGCTTTTTCCCTTCTGTGGCAGTCCATATCTGGAGCAATGTCATTTGCTGAGGTTGTGATTGGTAAACTCAGAGAGCAACGCCTTGAGTCAGCAGATGTAGCCTTTAGAGGTTCTTCAATACTTAAGGTATGTATACTTGCAGACCAATAGACTGAACTGTTACTATATAGTATACACATCCATACATTTCTTATCCATTAATCCTGAATAAGTTTTTGACTCAAGACATTTAGTGTTTCCTCTATTGAACATTGTGTGTTTATACATACACATAGGCACATGCATGCATACACATCCTCACATACTTATACCTGCCTAGTGCGTACATGTAAAAATGCATACATATACATACACACATGCATGCATGAAAACATGTTCATATACACATCTAAATATTTTGTTGGTATATGTACTATACGAGGAAACAAGATGACACCCAAAAGAAACTCAAGGGACAACAATCTGTTGATGACCCACACTGTTCGGCATGATCTCCATGCTGTCAAACCTAAATGTGCAAAATATCACAGCTTGGGGATTCTTGACACTAGTCAAACGTTTTTTTTCCACTTATTATATTGTTGAATAAAGATATGTTACTTTTTAACCCGTCAGTTATTTGGGGTATGCATAATAGTACATTTCCCTTTTTTTTCTTTTTTTTTTGTTTTTTTTTTTGGGGGGGGGGATGGGTTGGACACATAATTACATGTGTATTGAATCCAAGATATGCTAGGGGTTTCCCATTTTGAGTTAGTGTGTTCTGTTAGTCAAATCCATCATACTGATTGAGGCCTCTAGAGCAAATAATATGTTAATGTCTTTGTCATGGAGGCTCATGTATTTTGGGCCTTTCTTGATTTTAAGTAAAACATTGTTTTGCTATGGACGCATATACATGGCGATGCAGTGGAGATCCATAGCATTCAGGATAAAATTCTTTCTTTATTTCTCTTTTTTACTCTTTACTCTGGCATATTGAGGAAGGGTACACACATATTGTTGTTGTTGTCTTACTATTGAGTTTTTCATATAGTCTGTCAATGTTGTCAAGGTAGATCTACTTTGTTGAACTCTACTGTTCAAATGCAGATGATCAAACTAATTACTTTCTCCTTATGCGGGCGTGCATACCTCAATTTTGTGGGCAATGAATTTGGACATCCCAATGTGAGATTTTCTTCCCTCACTCAAGGTTTATTTTTCTACTCTTTGGTTGCATTGCTTTGTTTTTCAAAACTTTTTGAGGAAAGTTGATGTAATATTGATTACATTACTTTTTCATGTTTAACTAGAAAGTAGAATTCCCCATGCCAAGCAACAACAACTCTTTTGCCTATGCCAACCGCCGGTGGGATTTATTGATGGGTAAAGGGTTGCACAGCAATCTTTTCAACTTTGACAAGGTAGAATTCTTATGGAGTATGATTCCAATTTTCAAAATGTTCATGCTGTTTACCTTTTCACAATCATGTGCCATAAATGAATTTTTTCCCCATATCTCAACATTTCCTGTCTCTTCATCTCTTTTGAGACTCAAGTGTTTGTTTGCTTAAGATCTTATGCAAAGCGTTGATCACAGAATTAGAGTAAAGTATATCCTGTGTTGGTCCTTGTTCGTCGGTCTCTTATGGTATACCCATTAAGGGAATTCTGCATTATTTGAGGCAAGCGTCATGTTAGAGCTGTTTGTAAAATATTTTTCTCAAAATTGTACCTTGATATTTAGGGTCAGCGTATAAAGTGGAAATTCATTACCTGAATACGAAGATTAATTTTTGTATCCTGATTTTCACACACTTTTGGTTTGGATATCTTTTATAGCATGGGTGAATTCGTCAACAGAATTCATTTGAAAATCCTTCTGGAATTGGCTTCAACTTACCACCTGACATTACAATTAACGAGCAAGGCACCTTGCATTGTATATTTTTAAGAAATGAGTTGTATTTTATGATCTACTCTTAACATATTAGGGGAGCACTTTATAATGCTAGGATGAGTTTGTGGGATCCCTGCTTAGTTGTTGAAAGTTGTGGGCAATAGAGAACCTGGATGTACATATCTAAAAATTCCTTTCTAGAAAGAGATATCTATATGGAAATAATGAATATGAGGTGGTGGCACATTTTGCTAAATAAGCTACCAATATATAGTCATGTGGCGAGACCCACCTTACTTGTCCCATCAAAAGTTGTGAAATGGATTTCACCACTCTTCTCTCTTGTAGCTCATTTTGCTAAATGAACCGCCACCTCATAACCATCATTCTCTTTCTATATTTCAACTTTCATCTTCTATCTACAGTTGTGAGAATCTGATGGTGTATTCGATGGACTGCCGATATCAGAACCAATCTGATGTGCCTTCCCTTACATGGAAGTATATAAGCCCAACTTATTGTGCGACTTCTAAAACTATTTAAGGAAGCACCACTTCATTGCTTGAGATTCCTCTAAAAGAGAAAAAACATAAAAATCAGCAATTGATAATTATCAGTGACAAAGGCTTTTGAACTGGGAAAATTGGTTATCAATAGAAGCTACTGTTTCAAGATCCTTTATGGTTAATTGTTTTCAGTAGTAACGAAAATAATTCATCTCTATTGTTTCTCTATCTATTCTCTAATTGTCAAAACCCTTTCTTCTCTACAGTGTCCACTGTGATTGAAACAATGACAACATATCTGCCTTTTAACCCACTGGAGTACCTTCGAACTGGAATAAAAGTTGATGTAAATTTTCTTCTTGTGACAGGATATGATGAAGTTGGATGAGGATGAACAAATACTTTCAAAGGGCTCAGCAAAGGTTCACCATGTAAATGACTCTAATATGGTATGATATTTCCCATTCCTACTACAGACATTAATGCAGAATGTATCAGTAATTCTCATTGACTGCTTGTGCATAAATGCCTAGGCAAGAAAAGCTGGGTCTACTTTATGGCCAATTGGATTTTGATGGAGAAACACTTTGGTCATTATGATGACATACTGACGCTACAACTATAAGATTGTTAATATAAAAGTACTAGTTTAAACAGGGTTTCATGTTGTGAATAAAAGGAATATGACTAGGTTATCTGGGATGAAAGTAGAGTTCTAGATTTGTAAAGATGGTACTCTATCAAGAGATAAGAAAGGGAGGACAGTAAAGTATGCCTTTTGCATATTATTGTAAGACTGATTGTAATCAACAGATTAACCTCCATTAGACCTTTTTACAAATAAATTACTGACGCAAACTACTGTAGAACTAGAAAGCAGCTTACCATAAGAAGTAGAATAGAATAACAATGGAAGCAAAACTTTATCTAATTGTTCATGGTCTGTAATCGTCTTCAATCCAAGATCATAATGTAACTAGTGAAATTTTTACCTAATCCAACTATAAATTGACTTCTTTACAGCATTCTATAAATTCATAGTGTGCAAAGACCAGTAGAACTTGACCCCTATATATTCCTTGTGGCAGATAATATCCTACCTTAGAGGTCCCCTTCTCTTCGTATTTAACTTTCATCCAGAGGCCTCTTTTGAGGGGTATATTATTGGGGTAGAAGAAGCTGGAGAGTATCAAGTAAGTGACAACATATCTCTCCTGAGTTGCTTGTTCCTGAATTTATTTTTTTCTTCTCTTTTTTCCTTTATGTTGGCTATTTGAAGTACTCCTTACATTTGTATGTTATAGTAACTACATATATTAACATTGTTGAGCATGGACTTTTTGGATTCCTTTCCATGTGATCTAATAATAGTCCATGCGAGGAAGTAGTGTTCAGAAGTCAACCTCATATATATTCTTCGTACGAAACTCTTTACTGTATGTATTTGGGTAATGTGGTTGTTTGGCGGATAACATCAACATTCAGAAAGGTATTAACAGTATTTTGGCCATTAATTTTCTTCAAGTTTGATGGATGATGCAATATGTTGGTTGGTTTGTACCAGCGGATTGAAGTACATGGAATTGTGCACCGATCTCAAAGAGTACCAACCTTTTTATCTTTCTTCTCCAGAATTAAATACCATAACATTACTCGATTGTTATATTTTCTTGGAGGGGAGCTTAGTACAGTAAATCTTACATTCTTTGCTCTGTCTGGTATCTCTCTTTTAGCATGTAAAACTCCAGATGGTTACTTGTTAAACAAGTTCCTCCTTTGTCACTGGCTTCTTCCCTCCACATGTGATGTGACATTCTGGTCTGTCCAAAATTGCAGTTTTTATTTTCTGTTTGTGCCCTTATGTTGACAGTTGACCTATCTATACACTCGTATTAGAGTCTTTAACTTGAAGTAGAATCTTTAATTCAGAGCTTAAGAACATGGTAACATTTTTGGAGTTAAAGCTGCATTTCTCAACTATATCATAGCAGGCATATTAATGATAGGCAATTAAATCTGCTCATTCCCTGATGATACTTATGGGGTTAAGATACATTTCTCTGACCACCATAGCATGCACGCTAAACGTAGGACCTTTTCATTCCAGACTGCAAACAATTTGTCATGAAGAAATAATTTTGTTTCCTAAAAGTTAAATTTTGTTTCTGTCAATTCATTATGTTTAATCTTAGAGATCACTTTCTAGAGGTCATTTATCTTACATTAATTTGGCTATAGGTAGTATTGAACACAGATGAAATCAGCTATGGTGGACATGGAATGCTCAAAATTGATCAGTGTCTCCACAGAACGAGTAACAAGAGGTACTTTTTCTACATTTGTTTCTTCTTTTCGTCCAAATATATGCTTATTTTGGAGTTTACATTTCAATAAAGCATTCAATATTCCGGTAAATTTTCTGCACATTATATAGTTTTAATACATCATCGCAAAATTGAACCAAAAGTGCCCTCTGAATAATTTTTTTTTCCAGGAGCGATGGATGCCGAAACTCCTTGGAAGTGACTTTACCTTGTAGAAGTGCTCAGGTACTAATGAAAATGGTCATCAAGTAGAACTTGAATCCAGATTTCTGTGGTTATGGCGATAAACGAATCAGATAATCCGTTCTTAATATTTGTATTCACTTAAAATAGTAAGGAAATATTCTATATATTTACTTGGTTAATATTCTAAGATTATAAATAATAACCATTTAATTGAGCAAAAAAACGTTTACTTCGTAAATATTCTAAGTTTTTTTTCTCAGGGTACTAGTAAACATCGAGGACCAGAGAGGAGAGCATAGTGACGAGAGACCTCTTCCTCCCCGTTCCAGTAAAGCAAGCTGTGGTCTAATCCAACCTATCCGTTCCAGTACTTTTTGTTTGTCGAGTAGGCTTAGGCTACAGTCCAATACCTATGAAAGAAAGAGCTAAAGTTCCCATTGGAAGCACTTATGGGAGATGAAACGAAAAGAAGCTTTACCATGCCATGGCATAACTTCCACTGGTTTACGAACAACTGAATCGGACCGTTCGATTCAAATAAAAAGTAGGTAGACGATAAGCCGCTAGTGAAGAAATGTGAACTCCTCCTTTGGCCAAGCAAAACAAAGAATCATTCTCTATTTGACTTCCTTGAGCTGCCGTCATTCGATCAGTCCCTCTTTGGGAGATCCGCCTTCATATCAGCAGGGGAAGGGAGCGATTGTTGAGGCATACAAGTGGTTGCTTGCTCGGATTGTTCCACCTGCTGACTGACTTTCTTTCCATAGGAGATCTGGTTGCTTCCCAATACGAGTGGCGAATGCGTGCACCTCTTTGAAAGCCTTGCTTGGGCCCTAAGAAAAATTCATTTTTAATGAGACTGAAGACTTCGCCTTTTCTTCAGTGGATGAAAAGATTTATGAATAAGAATTCGCCATCCATGTCAAGTCAGCTAGTCATTCAACTAATCTTGTCTGCTTTGATCACTGGATTAGAGTATGCCCTTCCACTTCCGGTAGTCAGAAAGGTAGCCGATAGCCGGAACAACTGGAACTGTAGCTTGCACTCGAGTTGGCGTATATATCTTTTCTTTGGTCGATGGTCCTCTTTAAGCTTAGTCCTTTTAGTTATGTCGGCTAGCTGCCTGTCAGATATTCAACTACTCACTTGTCCTCGGCCCTTTTTTCAAAGTAAGAAGCCGATGCCACCTTTTTTCCGAAGTCATCGAATCGGCAGGCACAACAGAAGGAATCAACATAGGGAGTTATCTTAGCGTTCGAGGACAGCACTTACCTCCGCCACTGGATCTCGAAACCACTCTTCAAAACACAACCAGTAAAGTGAGCTTCACAGAAGGCATAATAGGGAGATTTCATGGCTTTCTTTTGAGAGCCTATATATTCTTGAAGAAGAAAAGAAAAACGATTTTCGTTCTTTGGGTGATTTTATGTTGCTAATTCCATCGTCGTCAGTCCTTCCCTCCTCCCGAGAAAGTGGAAAGGAATTCACACGTCCACTGCCCAAAAGAGGAAAGATTCTGAACGAGATGCTGGGGAGTCGACCCTTCTTTCCATTCTACGCGTGTCAAGTTGAAGAAGTGAATGCAGCAAAAGAATGAAGCTGCATTCATTTACTGTCTTGTCTTAAATCAAAGCATCTCTCTAAAGCCATTGTCTACGGGCTTCATACCGCTCAGGAGGGTGACACACCGCCCAATTGTTCTTCCGCTTGGTATCTTCGGGAAGATAGCAAACCATAATCATATATGCAATTCGTCTTTCTCTTTTTGTGTGGAAGTTAAAAGATAGCTGAAAGCCAGGCTTCGCCGTTTGATAATATTTGATCAAAAAAGACAGTGGGACCTCGCGGCTCGAGCCGCATTTCACGAAGTCAGGCTTTGTCACCATTCAAATAATTTGCCACTCACTCGTTGGTTGGTCTTCTATTCTGTTATCTTAGACTATGCCTTCTTCAATTCCATTCTTCGTCTCCTTAGTTTCAGTCTTTTTTCTGTCCCAACCCAACATTTTAGAGTGTCGTGCCAGGGCGATAGGCGCGCCGTAGTCACACATTCGAGCACGAGCCTTTCTTCGCTATGTAAAACAAAGGGACGGAATAAGTGTCAGACCCTCAACAAAAGAATGGATTAAGGTGGGCTTCGGATTTGGAAACATTTTCTCTTTCTTTTTTTTCTTAGAAAGTTCTTTGATCTGCCGCTGTTATAACACCACAATATTTGTCCTTTAGGGGTTAATGCTCTTAATGGTGAATCGATCATTCGCTATCCTTTTTTTTTATGAGAGGATAAAATGGAAGAAAAGTAATGAAACCTGCGATGGCTATTGAATAACCACCTTTGACTTTGTTAATAATAAACCCTTTGACCTTTTTATTCGTTTGCCAAATCTTTTTCAGTTCCATCCAAGCTCGCTTTTGTCTGAATCTTCGTGGAAGAAGCGGTTCACCAGACACTACATCCAGGGATCCTACAAAATCATGAAACCTGGCGGCTGCTCGCTCTTTGATCAGTGATTCACCGGCCACTAGATCGATGAAGAATCTCTCCAAAATACGCTTTTTTGATCAGTGATTCACCGGAGCCTAACCCGAACTACTTCACTTTCACAAATCGACTTTCCTAGCTCCCTCACTGAACTGATTCACATAGGTCCAAACCAGCTGAGCTAGCTCATTTTTCCTTTACGAGATCTCGGCTCTTCAGAATGGTTGGAGAGAGCCAGAGCCCCGCCTCCTCTTGGTTGGCGCCGGGCCCGAGGGTGATGGGACTACTTCTGAAGGAGCGATTCGCCTCCCAATATTTGTGAAGTATCCGTGATTTATTGAAGATAGCTGTTGGAATTGAATGAGAGAAGGCTTTTCTCGATCGAATAGGTCATAACCTGCGTGATCAATGCGTCGTCTTATTCGCTCTGCTAAACAAAGGAGCCTACAACCCAACCTCTTTGTTTGAAGCTTCTACTTGCTTGTTGAAGCTTTGCTTCCCCTAATTCCAAAAAACACAACAAAAAATTAGCAACTCTTGTAAAAAGCTTATCTTTGATAGTGGTCATAGGAAGGGTTCAGAAAGGATTTTGAGCATAATGAAATGAACCCTTGGATGAAAAGAAAATCCGCCAATCAGTGATCATAGGCGGTCGGGTGAGGCTGGAGTCTCGAATTCCCTACATGCTGATGAAGAAGCAGTGTACGCAGAAAGGGAGCTCGACTTCTCCGCTATGATCTCCCCAGTAGTTCATATAGGAGCTATTGTCGTTTCATTCTAGAGTGGCCTCCGTCACCCCGGTCAGCGTGCACATCAGAGCAACTGGAGCAGCAGGTGGTACTTCGGCCAAGCCGGTTAAGCAGGAATCGAGGAAAATGCATCCTGAAGTGTTGAGCTCTTTCAGTTAAAAAAGGCAGAAAGCGAATGCTGGCTCGCCCAACCCGTCGATAGGGTCAAGGGTAAGGTATATTCGCAAATACCCGTCGATAGGGTCAAGCATAAGGTATATTCGCCCAACCCGTCGATAGGGTCAAGCGGAATGCTGGCTGGCCGATCCCGTAGCGATAGGTCAGGGTAACCGGGTATACTACTTATAGTAATATTATGGGGGCTATGCTTGGGGTAACCGAAGGCACAAAGGTTGGTCCGCTTTGGTAGTCGGAGTGGTGTGCACATCCGGACCCTCGCAGCTCATCACTTCAAATATGGTAACGGCACAGTTCCCATCGCCAGTGTATTGAGTTGATGAGGCATTGAGACGATCACTACGCAGCATAAAATTTGTGCTTGGTACCAAACATAACCCATTTTTCTCATATATATATATAATATATATATATATATATATTATATATATATATATATATATATATATGTGTGAGAAAAATGGTATGCTATATATATATGTTGAGAAAAATGGGTATGCTGTGGTACCAAAGCCACAAATTTTGTGCTTGGTAGTGAGCTGCTCATTCTCATCCACTCATTCAATTGGGGGACCACATTCAACCCATGTGAATGTGGTCCCCCATTTGAATGAGTTGAAGATAATATGCCACCTCACTACCAAGCACAAATTTGTGCTTGGTACCAAGCATACCGCCATATATATATATATATATATACTATATATATATATATATATATATATATATGAGGAATATGGGTATGCTTGGTACCAAGCACAAAATTTGTGCTTGGTAGTGAAGTGGTACAACCCCCTCCACTCATTCAAATGAGGGATCACATTCACATGAGTTGAGGAGTGCATGGGGATATTCAACCATTTGAATGAGTGGAGGGAATTATGCCACCTCACTGCCAAGCACCACTTTTTGTGCTTGGTACCAAACATACCCATTTCTCTCTCTCTCTATATATATATGTATATATATATTTGAGTTTCAAAGTGAACTTCAAATTTTTGTACAATCTAAACTTAATAAATGTACGGAAGGTGAATGTTGCATCATATTCGTAATAATACACATTATAAGAGATCAAAGTTTAACTTTAAATGAACATTTGACAAGCAAACAAATGGAATATGTAAATGCTCCTATGTGATTTGTTAATACCTGATTATTGAAAATTATTATACTGTTCTTAAATGATCTTCCTGATCAACTTTTGAAAAAAAATAATAATTAGATTAATGTAGTAAGAACAATAGGATAATTATTTGATCAACTTCCACCCTATAGTTCAATGAAATACAAGTGCTAATTGCCTTCTTTGTGGC